AGCTTGGTTTTCATTTATTTCTTCTTTTGTGTTATCAACTTCTGTTCCACTGCGAAGGAAGCTCTGTAGCCACGTGTGACTATGTTTCAGTGACTGACTACCATTGTCCACTCATGGAGGCGTATTTAAAATTTGCCTTAGGCTAAATTTCAGGGAAGCAAATTCTCTTACCTTGGAGCAATCTGTCAGTGAGGACATATCTCATCAATGATGAAATTCAGCAACATCTCCAGTGTTCCAGCACAGCTTTTGACCATCTGAAGAACGGAGTGTTTGATGACATAGACCTCAAACCTAGTACCAAGCTCACGGTCTACCGGACAATTATGTTACCCACCCTCCTCTACGTGATGGAGAGAGGACAATACACAGCAGATGCTTCAAATCCCTCAAGAAAACACCACCAAGGGATGCTTTTGCAAAATCCTCAAAATCTAATGGCAGAATAGGTGCTCTAATGTTAGTATCCTCTCTCAGGCCAACATCCCCAGCATAGAGGCACTGATTACAGTTAATCAGCTGTGCTGGATAGGGCACATTGTCTGTATGCTTGACACAAGAGCTCCAAAGCAAATTTTCGACTCTGAGCTATGTCATGGAAAGCTGTAACCAGGAGGGAAGATGAAATGCTTCAAGATCCTCTCAGGAACGATGCAACATCCTCACTGTCTCATGGGATTTTCTCACTTAACATCCCCCAAACTGAAGAAAAAGTATTTGTGAGGGTGTTATCCATTTTGAGCATCTCCAACCAGCCCAGGTGAAGCCCAAGTTCAAACAGCAGAAGGACTGTACGCAAATTCAAGCATCCAAATCACCCATGTCATCAAACACTGCCTGTCCCACCTATGACAGAGTATGCGGATCATTTGTCGTTTAGTCACCTCAGGATCCATAATTTTGGGGTAGGAGAAAGTCATCCTCAGTCTTGAAGGACTGCCTAAGAAGGGGAAGACCATTTATAGTTAAAATGCCAGAAATTCATGGCAAAATTCCATGGCTCCAACAAAAATATAACATGAAGTCTGAAAACCATTTACCATCCTTGACTTGTTGTAAAATGATGTTTCAGCCTGTGAGTTCCATTTCTATTTTTGGCCTTGAAGACAGAAAAACGAACTATTCTGTCTATTTTGTCCTTCTCTACCATCTGTGTCTTCCTGCTTTGCTTCTTAATGCAGTCTTACAAATTGTATTAATCAGTTATTTGATTTAAATTTCACATCCTATTCTTCCTCCTCCTCCTCCTCCTTCTTCTCCTCCTGATGAGTCATTTCTCTTGCCAATCCAGTCCCTTTAAGACCGTGAAATGATATGGTGCTATTGGGAAAAATGAAGCAAATGAAAGTCAGGCTAATTTTGTAATAGTTTCATTTTACCCATCTCCATTAATCTGCAAATTTAAAAGGCAAGTAAGTTAGATGTACATTGATAAGAGAAAATAGTGATAAATGAACAAAATATTAAAACTGTTTTTATATCAGATAACCCTGATGTTTTAGAAGCAAATGCATGGCCATATGTGGCACTGAACAATCTGTGATTTTATTCTTTGCATGTGATATGTTAGGTGATTTCAATTGAGTTAACAGCAGAGGGATTGCCCTGTGCACAAGAAGTAGGGGAAACAATCAGTCAGAGTTCCTGCTCACAATAAAATCTATACTGGAACTTGTAAGTGCAGCACACATACAGTGAGGATAGGATAGAGCTCAGCTTTCAGTCTGCTAATACTCACTGTCAAGATTCAACACATGCAAACTTTGTCTTTTGAAATTATAACTCGGTCAGAGTTCTTACTTCCAAGAAAGGAGTGAAAGATGAAGTTAAGTGAGTAGTTGAGAGAAAAAATTCTATGTACTTCAGAGTACGTAACAGGACAGGTTGTTTACTGGGAAAAAAAATTAACCTTTCAGGATACCAATCAACACTAGTTAGTAACAACATATTAGCTATTCTACACAGCAGTAGCAAAATTCAACAGGAACAAAGTATAACATTAGAGAAAGACAGCTGATGTTGGCTTAACCCAAGAGTCACAATGCTTCAGGCAATGGGAGAGGTTGAGTCCTTCATGGTAACCTCAACTGGTGTAGGAATTGAACCCTCGTTGTTGGCATTTCTCTACATCACAAACCAGCTTTCTAGGCAACTGAACTAACCACGAACTAAGGGGATAAATTAAATGGACAAGTGTGAGTTGTGTCATATTTTTTGGAGGGATTCTTGCTGCAAGGCTAAGTGAAATGTCTCCCCATATCTTTCTAAACTCACCTCATTTAATACCTACCCTGCCTATTTGGTGTCCCCTACATCAGATTCCATACCCATCTTACCACGTATTGTTGCTGAACAACTTGCCACAAATCAGAGATCTGCCAAAAGACCTTGCAAATCCTACCAGCATGCCGTCCTCAGAGAAATGGGCTGCTCTGCCAGAAGTCACCTCCTCAACCTCGAGGACAAGAGTATTGAGGAAAGCATCAGCCAGGCTGCCTTCTGAAGCCCCGGACCAGCTCGGTTACCAACATTTCGGTGGGAACATTAGCATTAGAAAATGTGGAAGCATAATCTAGTGAGCACCTCAGTGTGAGAGCTGCACAGCTGCCCGAGGTAGAAGTGCCCCAGGTCACTGGCACTCAGAGGACAGCCAGAGACCAGGCACCTGCTCAGTTCCAGCAGGAGTGGACTCTGTGGTGTGGACGATAAGGAACTTTGCCTGAATGCACAGTGAGAACTGAAATGACTGGTATTTGGGAAGCAGTGTCCCTCATTGCCAAGAAGCTGCAGCAGTCCAGCGACTCATGATCATCTGGCTATATCCATGGTTGGCAGCTACCATGGGGAGCCATGCCCAGTACACTCAGGACCCATTAGAGAGGTTCACACACCTGGACTGTAGTGCCTGTCCTCCCCCTCTTCCTCCGCCTCCTCCACCATCTGTCACCCTTGGACGTTGAAACTGAGGAGGGTTCGCTTGATTCTGGCAAGAAGTCCCTCATCGTGTCTGGGCTGTCCAGACGCAAACAGCTTTGAGAATGCCTGTCCAAATCTCTCGGACCAATGGGTCCACTGCTGAGCAGGTTTCCTCCAACCCAGCTGCAGAACCAGGGAGGATACTAAGATTTAATAGGAAGAATAAAACGAAGAAAGCCTATTGAGAGCACGTTGATGGCATGTTGACAATGTAGTGCGCATGAATTTGCACGTTTGTATCTGTTTCGCAGTTTCACCTCTACATCTGTTTGTTTGAGTCTCTCTGTAGCGCTAAATACAACTGTGCCAGCATGGTGACGAGCTTCCACGATGCACCATGAATCGCTGTCTGTGTCAAGAGCTTGCTGCAGTATGTGAAAGCAAGATGAGCACAGCATGTACAGGGCAATAGGTCCTGCTGACACCTTTGCCCCTTTACCTGCAACATGTGAATGAGGCGGTTCACAATGTCTGGACTGGGGATGTACAGGGCAAACAGACAGCTAATGCTATAGAATGGCCAGGGATTGGGGACCCCACAGTTTGTGTCCTGTATATGGCATGGGTCTGTGTGTGCAGTTGTTTCCCCTAAAGGGCCTCACATCAGTGTATCCTGAAGACCCCTCCCTCACAGGTTGAGTCACTTACCTGCCCAGTTCTTTTATGGTTACAGACATTTTATTTTCTACTGCATATTTTCAATTTTCAGCATGGTGGAAGGCAACAGTGACCACTGTTTGGCCAGTGACTTCCACCCTCTGATTCTACATGTTGGTGAGGCCCTGAACATCCAGATTCTCTTCCTAGTAACCCTTCCTGTGGAATCCATAGGCTTTGCAGCTCCTCAGATTCCCACACAACATGTCTGCATGAGCCTATGCCTGTTCACCATGCCTTCCTAGCCCCTCGCACTTGAGATGCAATGCTCATACACTGTACTAACCGTCCCCCACCATTCTGAAGCCAGGGTGCTCCTGGATTGGCCTGCTAAATTGCTCATAGCGCCCAGGAAAGTGCAGGCAAGGTCTGTTAGCCATGGGAAATGCAGGGTTGCAGGGATAGGGTAGTGGGGTGGATCTGGGTGGGATGCACTTCAGAGTGTCAGTGTGGACCCAATTGGCTCAATGGCCTGCTTCCACACTGTAGGAATTCTATAATTCTTAACGTGTTCTATAATATCAACATACCCCTCCCTAATCTTACCAAAACTCTGAGGAAGGGTCACTGGACCTGGAACATTAACTCTGATTTCTCTCCATAGATGCTGCCAGACCTGCTGAGCTTTTCCAGCAATTTATGTTTTTGTTTCTAAGTTACAGCATCCACAGTTCTTTTGGTTTTTAAATAAGAGTTTGAGAGTTCTTCCATTCATATCATATCTGCACTTTTGAGGCAGAATAAACCATTCCACAAGAAATAATGATATTATAATGTATATTTTGTTTTTTTTGTCTTGATCACTTTGTACTGAATCATGCATTTCTTTTCTTAGACTTAGCAACCCCTCCACCCACACTTCTCTTCACACTTTCAGAATATGAAGGGATGCAGATGCACAGCCATCAACTGTCTTTCAGTCCCTCATCCAAATTGACTTTGTTCATTGGTAAACCCAGACAATAAAAGTTCTGATGAAGAGTCACTGGACTCAAAACATTAACTCTGTTTTCTATCCACCCTATTCTGCTAGGCCTGCAGGAGCAGCATGGTGCTGGTAGAATGCAATCTTATTGAGTAGGTTAATGTTGAGCATTTGCCATTTGATAGCATCGTTGACAACATCTTCCATCACTAAGCTCAATTCTGTCCCTGCCTAAAGTCCATACAACATGATGTCCAGCTGTATCAGATTTAGAATTTGGAACTCAGGTTAAGAGTTCACGCTCTCTAGCGAAGGATGACACCAATTGTAACATTTCCAGTAGCTAAGACTGTGGTTGAACTAGAGACTTATAGTTAGCTCTACATTGAAAATTATATTAATCTATTGAACCATTAGAAGCCTGCACTCACTAATTGCTAAGTATTTCTTTTCTTGCAGATATTGTTGAAGAACCCTGTTTTCATGTCCTTAGTTATAGCAGGCACTACTGAAGCAATGGTCATCACTGGGTTTGTCACATTTATGCCAAAATTCATTGAAAATCAATTTGGCCTAACTGCTAGCCTAGCAGCAATTCTGGGAGGTAAGCAGTTTTATTTATTTTCTTAACAGATAATATTTCAGTAATTTGTTAAAAGGGATAATTGATCAGAAGTTGCTGAAAATATATTGGTTGATGAATGACTGACGGACCCTCTTATTTATATACAAATTGGCCAGTAGCTTGTCAAGAAAATGAGATACACTGGAATTGTAATTCACCGGAAGTTGTTGGTCAGATTTCACCATTAGCTTTGTGACTATTGCCCTTAACTTTCATGAAATTACATCTGAATTTTCAAAAGGCCTACAATAAGGTACTGCATTACTAATTAATCACAACTAATTTCAGAACAAGTGCAGTCTAGAAACAATTAGCGAAATAGATAAACTGGCTACAAAAATAATCAATGAGTTAAAGTGAGAGAAAGAGACAGAGAAAAGTTGGAAAGTGATATTCCTCGAGATACCATGCTGAACCCACTGTGTACCATTTTAGAAAATTAGTTGAACTCAAGGATCAGAGGATAAATAACAAAGAAAGGAGCAGGAATCTGCCATAAGGTTTTTGAGTCAGCTGCACGATTCAGTACGATCATGGCTGATCTTTAGCCTGAACTTCACGCATTCCCATTATCCCTTGATAAAAATGTGTCTTTTTTTTACTATCTGTCTTGGCTTTAAATATAACTCTCTGGGCTAGAAATTTCTCCTCACGTCAATCCCAGATGATCAGCTGCATATCCTGAATGTGGGGCCCATGTTCTAGATTCGTCCACTGGGGGAAATAACTCTGTGTCTAACTGCTCAAGCTCTTTCAGCATCTGATATGTTAAAATTAGATACCTTCTCATTTTTCTGAACTCCAGAGAATATATAATTCACTCAGTTTCTCATTGCCTGGATCAATCTAGTGCTAAATTTATGTTGCACTGCTTCCAGTGTGAGTAAATCCTGCATTAAATGTGGAAATTAAAACTGCATATAGTGCTCCAAATGTGGTTTTGCCAAAGCCCTGTATAATTTTGGTAATACTTTCTTATTCTTGAACTAAAGCCACTTGAACTAAAGGCCAAAATGCCTTTTGGTTTCCTAGTTGTTTGCTTTATCTGCACACTAAATCCAGTGTTCCTTTTACATGTGCCCCAGTGCTTCCTAGAGTGAACACATTTAAAAGTTTCATGCCTTTAAAAAAATTCTGCTTTTCTATTCTTACTGTCAATATGAATAACTTTAGTCTTACACTCGTTACGCATTATCTGCACCTTGTTAATCCATCCACTTAATCTGTTTCTCCTCACAATTTGCATTCCTATCTAAGTTTGCATTATCAGCAAACTTATGTACACTGCATTTGATGTCTTAGTCAATGTCATTAACACTGATTGCAAGTAGCTGAAGCCCCAGCCCTAGCCCATGTGGCACAACCTGACAACTTGAAAATGCTCCATTCATTCTTCCTGTTTGCTTCCCGTCCATTAAGCAATCCACTAACCATGCTAATTTATTACCCACAGCTTCCAGATGAACCTTCTGTGTGGTACCTTTTCAAATGCCTTTTGGAAATCCAAGTGCACTGCATCTAAAGGTTCCCCTTTTTCTAGCTGACTAGTTATATCCTCAAACAACTCTAATAACTTTGTCAAATATTATATTCTTTTTGAAAAACCACGTTGATTTGTCAGACCACATTATGAATTTCTGATGCATTGTTAAGACTTCCTTAAAAATAGATTTCAGCATTTTCCAGGATTCCAGAAATTGGAAGAAATACTTAATACTGTGGAAGACTGTGACAAAATACAAGAAAACATTAATATACTTGAAGAATGGTTGTATGATTGGTAAATGAACTTCAGTAGAGGTAGGTATAGGATGCTAAATTTTGGAGGAAGATTAAGAAGGCTACAAACTCCTTGGAAATTAAGCTTGTAACTTAACATAGGTGACATTGGAGAATGAGTGATGATTTGGAATCATATTTCTGTAGGAGATCTGAAGCTATTTAATTCCACATTGGGCACTTAACTGGTCAGTGTTAGGCCTCCCACAGCATTAAACCTTAAGTGTGATAGAAATCCCTTTCCTGGGAGCTGTCTGCACATTAGAGACCTACAGTTCTTCAGTACCCAAAGCACCACTGGGTACAGTGGCATGGGAAGGGGGATTTGGAAGGAAGTAGGATGGTTTTCTATGGCAGCCCTGTTTCTTGACTTAGGCCCCAAGTGCTATTAATGAGAGATAAGTAGCTGGTAATCTTGGTGCCATGCACACTGCCACCCTGCCCTAAAGAGATATTACAGTCTGTTTTATGTACCTAAGGCTTCCTTTTCCAATTTGATTCATCCAATCAATATGAAGATTAAAACCATCATTGATTATTGCCATACCTTTCTTACAAGTCCACTTTTTAATGTATACTCTGTCCTACAGGGTAGCAATTTTTAAAGGACTTATGAATTATTTCCACTGGTGTCTTCTTCACTTGCTATTTCTTATCCTCAGCCAAACTGATTTTTACATCCTCCAGCACCAAGTCAAATTCATTTCTGGCTTCTGTAATGATCTCATCCTTATTGAACACAGCTTCTCCCCCATCTTCTTCCTTTCTAAACACTCTATTTTCTTAGTTAACCCCCAACTGTTCATGCTCCCATAGCAGACACAATTTCTTGACCCTACCTAAGTCATTATGTGGATTGTAGCAACTGGATCTTTCTCCTCTGAGTCCCATTTCCTATCTAGCCCCAAGATCATGTCTTTAATCCTGACGCCAGGAGACTTCATAACCTTCTTATATTCTCAGTTGCAGAGGACAGTTTCCTGTGTAACTCAAAACTTTGGTCGACAGTAAAAATTTGTGGAAGAAATTAGAGGTCTTTGATCACCTAACTATACAGTGCCCTATTCCTATTAAATTTTTAGGATACTGTGCACATTTGGTGTGCTTACTGAAGGATGGATATATTCACCTTGGAGACAATACAGCAAATGTGCACTAGATTGTTTCTTAATATAAATCTATAAAACCTAGAATCTACGTATGACCCTCCTCTTAACTGCATCTAATTTAATTGTATCCCTCCTAAAATAAGGAATGTTTGGAGTTTAGAGAACTGTGGATGCTTCATTGTTGAGTTTATTTAAGGTTGAGCTAAATGGAACTAATTTTAGACATAGAAGAGGATCAAGAAATGGACTATTTATGTAAGAGTAATCTTAAGTAAATATCTATATATAACAAAGCAAAATTACATATAATTGATAGAATAGGAAAACACATTAAATTGTATTGATCATCAAAAAATAATAAATAAGATACTGTAACGTAACATTGACAGTAAAACTATGAGTTTTATACACAGCTTTTCATGTGAACCAAATCACAAGCATCATGTGAAAAGAAGTACAAACAGGTATTTTTCAAATAAAGAGGGCAGTATAATCAGACTGTTTACACTCATCTAAATTATTCAGTCTGTACATATAAAAAATAATCCAAGAATCTGATATACTTGTTACTTATACTTGGACTTTGAGACAAGAACATAACAAATATACCCTAAAAGTATCAGAGATAAAGTAAAATCTAGAAGCTTAGAATATGGATTGAGTATAAATATAAACTCCAAACAGGCTGAAAACAATAGTAGTTAGAGGGAATACATCAGAAGATACCAGAGTGGATGGTGTCACACTGGAGCTGTAGATATATTTTTCTATTTAGCATGAATGATAACAGAAAATGGCAGATGTGTTGCAGAAGTTAGAAGGATGGAGTGAGCAAAATATAGTGTGGTGACGATGAAGGTTGTGTTAACGTTAACAAGAGAACATTCTATGGCTACATTCTGTCTGTTTTCATGTATAACTCAGAACGTTGACAGTAAAAATTTGTAGAAGAAATTAGAGGCCTTTGAAATTTGATTGCTAAAAATTCTATACGATGACTATAAATCAAATAGAAATTGCAAGACCAACAATAACTCTTAAAAATGTCATTCAGGGAAAGAACTATTAGTGTTTTGATCCCTTGATCAGATCTGAAAAGCTACAGAGATATCTTCTAGAGGGCAAAGTAAACGACAACAGTAAGATGGGTCAATTTAGGCATAGTTGGATGACAGGAATCAGAGTGTTTTCAAAAGAACAAAAGAGAAGTATGTTAAAGGAACAGGCCCCCTGGCCTTCCAAGTCTGTGCCGATCATCATGCACAGACCAAACTAAAAAACAAACCTTCTGCCCTTATTTGGTTCGTATCCCTCTATTCTCTCCCTGTTCATGTAACCATCCAGACGCCTCTTAAATGTCGCCAACCTGCCTGCTTTCACCACATCCTCTGGCAGTGCATTCCAGGCTCCTACCACCTTCTGCGTGAAAAACATTCCTCGCACATCTCCCTTAAATTTTTAATCGAGTTCTGAGGAAGGGTCACCAGACCGAAACGTTAACTCTGATTTTTTCTTCACAGCTGCTGCCAGACCTGCTGAGCTTTTCCAGCAACTTCTGTTTTTGTCTCTTAAACTTTTGCCCTCCCACCTGGAACCTGTACCCCCTTGTAACTGAAACTTCAACTCTGGGAAAAAGCCTCTGGCTATTCACCCTGTGTATGACTCTCATAATTTCGTAGGCCTCTATCAGGTCTCCTGTCAGCCACTGTCTTTCAAGTGAAAACAATCTTAGTCTTTTTAACCTTTCCTTATAGCCAATGCCCTTGAGACCAGGCAACATCCTGATGAACCTTCTCTGCACTCTCTCCAAAGCTTCCACATCCTTCTGGTAGTGTGGTGACCAAAACTGAACACAATACTCCAAATGCAGCCTAACAAGGGTTTTAAGTAGCTGCAACATATTTTGCCAACTCTTGTGCTCCATGCCCCGACTGATGAAGGCAAGCATGCCATATGCCTTCTTAATCACTTTTGGTCACCTGTGTTGCCACTTTTCAAGAACTGTAGACCTGCGCACCCAGATCTGTCTGTATGTTAATGTCCCTAAGGATTCTGCCATTAACAGTGTAATTCACACCCAAATATGATCCTCCAAAATGCATCTTCTCGCATTTGTCTGGATTAAACTCCATCTGCCATTTCTGTGCCCAAGTCACCAATCTATCTATATCCTGTTGTATCCTTTCACAATTGTCGATACTATCAGCAACTCTACCAATCTTCATGTCATCTGCAAACTTACTAATCAGACTACCCACATTTTCCTCGAGATCATTTATATATACTACAAACAACAGAGGACCTAAGCCTGACCCCACTGGAACACCACTAGTTACCAGTCTCCGTTCTGAAAAAACACCCTTCCACCACTACCTTCTGTCTTCTATGACCAAGCCAGTTTTGTAGCCATCTAGCTAGCCCACTCCGAATCCCATGTGATTTTAAATAATGAGCCATGATTTTAAATGATGATGATTTCAGATGAGCTATAGTCAATGTGCGAGGATGACACCAGATAAATGTTGGACCTGGACATCAGTGGCTGGTCAGCATTTACTGCCAGTCCCTAGTTGCCCTTAAGAAGGTGCCAGTGAGCTGCCTTTTTGAACTGCTGCGGTGCACCTCCTGTAGTTTGACCAATGCCCCTTGGGAAGGAATTCCAGGATTTTGACCCAGCAACAATGAAGGAATTGTGATATGAAGAGTAGCTTGGCGAAGAATGTGCACTTGGTGCTGTTTCCAGGTATCTGTCCTTCTAGGTGGAAGCGGTCATGCATTTGGAAGATGCTGTCTAAGTATCTTTGGTGAATTTCTACAGTGCATCTTGTAGATAGTACACAGTGCTGCTATTGAGCGTTGGTGGTGGAGGGGGTGGATGCTTGTGGATTTGGTGCCAATCAAGTGGGCTGTTTTGTCCTGGATGGTATCAAACTTCTTGAGTGTTGTTGGAGCAGCACTCATCCAGGCATGTGGGGACTTTTCCATCACATACCTGACCTTTGCCTTTTGATAGTGGTCAGGCTATGGGGAGCCAGGAGGAAAGTTACTCACCACAGTAGTCCCAGCCTCTGACCTGATCTTGTAGCCACTGTTTTTATATGATGAGTCCACTTGAGTTTCTGATGAATGGTAAACCCAAGGATGTTGATAGTGGTGGATTCTGTGATGGTAACATTGTTGAATGTCAACGGACGGTAGTTAGATTGTCTCTTGTTGGAGATATTCATTGTCTGGCATTTGTGTAGCATGAATGATACTTGCCACTTGTCAGCCCAAGCCTGGATTTTGTCCAGATCTTGTTGTGAGTGTGGTATATCACGGCAGCAGATCTTCTAGTAGGAATAACTAGGAGCAACAATTGCATTTGGATATTTCATCTGTCAGGAAATTAGGGGATATGGGGAGTGAGAAGCATGATGCACTTGAGTTTGAAGATCAGCTATAATCATCGTGACTGACTGACCAGGCTGAAGGAGTCTACTCCTGCTGCAATTTTGTAGGTTCTTATTTAATGAAAGCATGATTGATGATTTTAACAGCAGATAATCTGCGGCATGGCTGAAGTCAGGTAATGTTAGGGATGTTGAAATTGACAGCCTTAGGAATGTCACAGATATGTATTTGGAAGCTCATCTCAGGGTCTAATTTGACCTCTGTGTTCCAATTAGTTCTGATGAAAGGTCACAATCATTAACATTAACAACGTTAACCTTGTTTCTCCCTTCACAGATGCAACCAGCCCTGCTAAATATTTCTATCATTTTTGTGTCTATTACAAATGGTCTGGCTTGTTCTCAGACTGTTAGGGGAGACAAATGGAGTCAGTAGTTAGAGAGCAGAATTTGGAGCAGTGACTGAGGACAATGGCTGACAAATTTAGTTTCATAATTTAGCAATCGTGGAGGAGTTGAAAGAGTTGGTGAGGTAGAGATGGGTGTTGTCAGTGTATATGTGCTGTTCAATAATGTCACAAAGAGGCAGCTGGTAGATGGGAAATAGGAGAGGGTCAAGTGGAGATCCTAGGGAGATACCAAAGATGATGGTTTGAAAATGTGAGGAGAAGCTATCAAGAACAATACTCAGATACGATTTAATAAATAAGAATAGAACCAGGCGAGTGCAGTCTCACCCACCTAGCGACAGCAGAGTGGCATTACAAGAGTTTGATGCAGTCAACTGTGTCAAAACGTAGGGACCGGGATGGAGATATATATATATAGGCTGTCATTTGTGGCTTTGATAAGAATTGTTCATGTACTATGACAGAGGTAAAAATCTAATTTAAGAGATTCACATGTGAAGTTTGAGGAAAAAACAGGCATGGAATTGGGAGGCGATTATGTTCAAGGACTGAAAGTAAAGAGAGATTGGAGATGTGATGGTAATTTGCAAGGACAGTGCCTGTACTGCATGTAAACAAAGCTTTTCACTGTATTTTGGTACACGTGACAATAAATCAATCAATCAGTGAGGCGAAGGGTTGGTTTATTAAGGGAAGTGGGAGTGGCACCAGATTTTAAGCACAGAGTAACAACCATTTCTCAAAAAAAAATGAACAATGTTACCAAATGTGAAGACCATGAAGAGAATTTGGATGGTCAGCATTGCAGTGGGAATTAAGTTGAGGGGACAGGAGGAGGACCTCATGCACAAAATGTGCTTTGAGAAGGCATGATGGGAGCTAGGATGGAAACTGTACAGTAATGTACAGGGACTTTTGCCCTGTTGAGCTAGTGGAAGAGAAGGAAGTGGCTCTGGCAGCTGATCAGATGGTCTGAATTTTAGTAACAAAAGAAGTCCATGAGTTCCTCATACTTATTGCCAGAAACAATCATTTTTGAAACCTATGGTAATTCCTGTTATCACTCCAAAATTTTGAATTAGATTGTTTTTGTTATGCACTCCTGACCACCTGTGGTCTTGCCCATTCCATGAGTAGAATGTCTGACAGGGATAGACTTAATTTAGATCTTGTTGAGCTGAACATCCCTTACAACCAGCTTACGACTGCATCTGCCACTGCAACTGTACCGGAGATTTGGAGAATTATCCAGATTGAATTAGGGTTAATGAAGATTCTAACTGATTGACCATTCAGAATGTTATTCTTTGTTTTTATCCTTGCAGAAATAATTTTACATTATCTGGTGATAGAAAAGACAAGGCACACTTAAGCATATAAATATTTCAAAATGAAAAGTTCTTTCTTTTAAATTCACAACATCCTAATGCTTGTATGTAGTAACTAATGTGACTTTTATTTAGAAATTGTTGATATTCTACTTACCGAACTGATGTGAGCCAGACACACCATGAATGGCTTTGTGAACAAATTTATATCACTGTTATTAAGAGATATTTGTGGTAGTAGCAGATAAGTATTTCTGCAGAAAGTACACAGGTATTTCCAGTGAACCATGTGGCCTGACAATGATATAATTGTTTCTAATTTTTTACTTTTAAGGAGCAGTACTTATCCCCGGAGCTTTTATTGGTCAAATTATTGGTGGGCTCATCATTACCAAACTGAAACTTCAGTGTCGAAATGTGATGAGAATGAGTGCAGCCACATGCATATTATCACTGCTTTCTGCTTTAGTTTTTGTTTTTGCTCAATGTTCAAATCAGCCATTTGCTGGAGTCAACCAGGACTATAATTTGTAAGTAAATATGAAATTATTTTAATTTTTCCATATTTACTATCTGAAATGTCTTTTAAATCACGTTTGTGATTATCACAATGTGTAAACTTCTGGTGCAAGATGTGGGACTGGTTAATATTTTCATCATTTAATAGAAATAATTTAACTAGTTGATCTTCTGTGGTCTTGCACACAATCAGGATCAGGCATAATGTTCAGGTGAAACATAACTGGGGAGGAATAACTGAATCATGATGCACAGAGATTTCTAGCATGGAAATTGGGGAGGGACAACTAATTGTGCAGCCCTTAAAAACAGCAACAGGGTTTGACAGACGTATTTCAGTTATGCCCATTGCTTGCAATGCAGGCAGCACACCAACGTTGAGCTGACTAGATATTTGAATGAACTCTGCTGCCAAAGAATACTATCTGCACTGTTCATTGGCTAGATTCATCAGCAGGGGGCCATCATCATGAGTAACTAGCATCACTTTAAAGCTAGCCTGCAATTGTGAAATGGGATGTGCAGTGTAACAATCACAGTAAGGCAGGTCAAAGAGAATCCGACCTGGGTAAAGGTAAAGAATGGCACAGCAGGGATGAGCACAAGCTCCAAGGTTTTTAGACACTACACGTCTTGATGAAGGAGGTGCAAAGAATGATAGAAGTCCTGTTTACACAGTTAAGAAGAAGACCCATTAGACAGATGGTCACAAACCAACAGGAACAGGTAGCTGTAGAGCACAATGCCAGGTATCAAGTACTTGGAGCCCCAGTGCTGTGCTTCAAGAAAACCAATGGCCTTATATGAATAGCCAATGTTGGTGAAGGCATCTTCAAATTCAGTAATTCCTTATGTAAGGTTGATTACACATTTCATTATAATATCACAAATGCAATGGAGAACATCTCAGGAACACCTTGCACTTGTGATTTAGTAGTTCCAAAGTCTCCTGATCATTTTCATTAAACCAGTTTACAGTATGAGATGTTCCTGTACTGGAAACTAAAACCCAAAGGAACAAAAGCAGATTGACGGACACATGAAGGCTGAGGTCCATCAAGTAAGACCCCGTCTCCTAAAAAGCAGATGGTGGACAGAAAGATTGCATGAAATACATCAACTTACCAACAGCCATGCATACATGGATTCTTCAGCACCTTTAAGACCATGTATGGCCAAGCAGCCTAACCCACTGAAAGCTAAGATTGGACTGGCTTTCATCAAAAATGTAGATGCAGTGAGTGCTTGTCGGAAAGAGCATTTCATGAATCTCCTCAAAATGGAAACTCTGTCATCAGCGTGAGTGCCCAATACCCAATTACATTATGCTACTTGCCAATATCGCAGCATAATCCCAGCCCATCATGAAGATGAAAGTCTATTCAATGGCTCAGAACCAACAAGACCACTGATCATAGAAATAAAGAATCCCTACAGTGCAGAAAGAGGCCATTCGGCCCACTGAATCTGCACCAACCTTTCAAAGAGCATCCCACCCAGCCTCAGCCCATCCCCATAATCCTGTATGGCATTTTCACCATAGCTAATCCACCTAACCTGCACATCCTTGGACTGTAGGAGGAAACTGAAGCACCCGGAGGTGAGGCAGATGGAATCCCTGCTGAAATACTGAAATGGAGTTAGAAAAGTACACTTGGCTCATATACATGTCCTCATCTCTCTCATTTGGATGGAGATTTCCAGGGCATCTCCAAGATGCTGTTTTGTGATCACCTTCAATAATGGAGATAAAACAGAATACAGTAATCACAGAGAGGTATTCCCTGCTATCAGCCACAGGGAAGATCACTGCACAAATCCTCCTCAGTTGTTCCCTCCCAGTGGCTGAAGATCTTCTGCCAGAGTCACAATGTGTATTCTGTCCATCAAGAGGTATAATGGTCATGGTCTCCGTGACAAAACAAGCCCAAGAAAAGTTCATAGAGCAGCAGCAATCTACACACATGGCTTTTTTTGTTCTCACAAAGACCTTTGACTCTGGGAGGGACTTGGAGTGTTCTGTCCAAATTTGCTGCCTGTAGAAGTCCATTGACCATTCATGCCTGCTGCACAATGGATCACCAATGGATCCACCAGAGACCCAATACATGTGCAAACTGAGGCCAAGTAAGATTCTGTCATTGTGCCAGTAGTCGTCTTTTTTTTTGCAACACTCCACCCCTTAACTATGAAGCCTCTTGCTGATGTCAAGCTAATTTAGAGGATGAGTAGGAAACTATTCAAACTGTGTTGCCTCCAGTCCCAAATAAAGTCCACCCCAGCCTCTATCATCATGTTGTAATATGCAAACTGCGCTTGTCTGTACACACTCAAGAGACCAAGCTTCAAACTATCATTGATGCATTTACTGAGGCATATGAAGGAATGGACTTTAAACTGAACATCTGGAAGACAAAGATCCTGTATTAGCTGGCTCCTGCCAATGCAACACTACCCAACAAATATCCAGAGCCACAGTCAGCCATTGAACAAAGTGAATCAATTCCCATACTTTGTGAGCTTCCTCTCAGCAAGGACAGATATCAAGTTCATCTCACAACATCGGAGTAGAAGAAAGTTTTCCTCCATCTCAAGGGACAGTCTAAGAAGATAGAAAGGGAACATATACTCCTTTAACATGTTGGCATTTGCTGTAGCATCAGTTGCCAATTGGTTGTAAATCTAATGTTGACGTCAGGCCCACTCTTAATTGCTGAATTCAATAAAGAGTGGACCTTTAATATCAAAGGGATATTAAAGTACCGTATTTAAAATATGAATTATCATCAGTGAAAAAATATAGTCAATTGAGTTAATATATTCAGTCTGCAATAAGACAGAGAAACTTTTCCCAAAACAGACTAAAAAGAGTAACCACAGTCCCCAAGTCCAGCAGTAAATCTCACTTGAACCGGCAACAAATAACAACTTCAGCTGAGTTTCTCTCACTAATTGTTCTACACATTTCAGCAGTTTATCCTTGTGAATTATTCTTGCTTTGTGCTCTCTATCTCTCTCACTCACTCATACTGCACTCGAAACGTTAACTCTGTTTCTCTCCAGAGATGTTGCCGGACCTGCTGACTATTTCCTGCATTTTCTATGTTTGTGTCGGTAAACAGGTTTGAATTTCAAAATCCCTGTCAGCTACATTCAGAGTAACCTAATTTTCTACAGGGACCTTTGACATGAGCACACCATTTCCACATGCAAAAGTTTCATGTCCTTTTGAATGGTCTGTATTTTTTATTAGCCTGTACAGCTGAATATTATTTCAAATTTATTTGTTTTTTTTAAAATCATTAATCATCTCCACTTCCACCAACTTTACAGGTTGTGAGTTCCAGACATTACCATTTGTTGTGGAAGAAAATTGTTCGTCATATCCTCCTCAGCTTCAGTGTTCTCTTGTCCTTGAACCATCAGCCAAAAGAACATTTCATTGCTTTTCATTGTATTCATTGTCTACACCTGTCACGGCTGGTCGTCTTCTTCTTTGGCAGTCCCTTAGGGTTGAGGATACCTTGCTTCCACTCTGGGGTGGAGGCTGGGAGGCTTTCAGTGGGTTCTGCAGTGGCTGAATATTCCAATCTGGGAGCTGCATATTCTGCCGCAGATGGGGGAGGTTGTGTTTCAGGAGGGGCTGTGTGGGACACTCTGGATTCCGTGTGGTCTTTCTGTTGCTTGCGCTTGGCCTCCAGGTACTCCACTCATTGACATTCAAAATAGTTGGTGCCTTTGCAGATGCTTTTTCTCCAGTTTGTGCATTCAAAGGCAAGCCATTCCTACATATCGGTGGGGATGTTGATTTGTTTAGGGAGGATTTCAGGATGTCCTGGTAGCATTTCCTCTGCTCTCCCAGTGATCACTTACCATTATGGAGCTCAAAGTAGAGTCTTGCGTTGCGAATGCGGACATTGCGGCCAGCCCATCGCAACCAATCATGTCACACATGATTGTGCATCGATACTGGGGATATTGGCCTGGGAATGTTGTACACGTTAGGATGCCTATCCTGCCAGTCGATTTGCAGGATTTTGTGAAGGCAGCCCTGATGATAACTTTCCAGGGACTTAAGGTGTCTGCTATGCATTGTCCATATTTCTGATGCACACCAGAAAGTAGGGACTGTAGTGCTCTGCAAATCATGAGATTGGTGCTGGGTTTGAAGTCTCGGATTTCGAACACTCTGTTCCTCTGGCAGCACTGGCACATTGGAGTCGGTGTTGGATTTCATTGTCAATGTTTGTTTGCACTGAAAGGAGGCTCCCGAGGTATGGGAAATGACTCACCTTTTCCAGGGGCTCGCCATGGATTTTGATGTTTGGGGGCAGATGTGGGCTGGTAGGGACCCTTTGTTTTCCAGATATTTAATCTGAGGCCCATTCTCTCATATGCCTCAGTGAATACGTCGATAATGGTTTGTAGCTCGGCCTTTGAGTGCGTGCACATGCGGGATTTGTCGACATACTGCAGCTCGATAACAAGTTTGTGGGTCTCTTGGTTCTGGCTTAGAGATAATGAAGGCTGAACAGTTTCTCTGCTTGACCTGAAGATTAGCTCTACACCAGCAAGGAGCTTCATGGAGATGGGGTGGAGTGATGTGGTGGGGAAAATGGAGAGGAACGTTGGTGCAATGACACAGCCTGCTTGACCCCAGTTTGCACTCATATTGGGTCTGTGGTGGACCCATTGGTGAGGATCATGGCTTGTATGTCATCGTGAAGCACCTCTATCAAATCTGCCCTCAATTTCCATTGTTTCAAACTGAACAATCCTCATTTCTCCAACCTAATCTTGTGGCTGAAGATCCTGATTCCTGGAACCATTCTGGTACATTGTCTCTTCTTATGCATCAGCTCACACTTCTCTCTATTAAATTCCATTTATCTCTTGCCCCATTCTGCTCACCCATCAATGTCATTTACTTGTTTGGTATCATCCTCAATGTCATATTTCAAAATTTGGTATCATCATCAAATTTTGAAGTTTTACTCAGTACTGACTATTGGAAAACACCAGTATCTACCATCCTTCAGTCTGAAAAACAAACATTGACTACAACCTGCTCATTTTTTTCTGCCTTATGCTAATTTTTATCCAGACTGACGCTGACCCTCCTATTCCACAGTCTCATTTTTTTTAAACAAACTTTAATACAGCATTTTGTCAAACACTTCCTCAAAATCCATAGATAGCATTTCTTCCATCAACTTTTGTGACTTCATCAAGAATTTTACTTGGATAAGCCTAGCGCAAATTGATTTTTGGTCCTATATGTTTTATGCAGATAATTAAATCCATAGAATAGTAATTTTCAAGTCCTTATCTTAATTTTTTGTTACAGGTGGACCAGGAAGGGGGATTTTCTTACCTGTGCTCGAGGATAATCTTGAATCATCTCACACAAAAATAAGACAGATGTTTATTGTTATTTAGGAGCAACCTGTTAATCCTAAGCAATATTGATTGTTCATTTGGACGCCATGCTTAAATTAATAGCAAAACCAACACCAATGGCATCCTAAGGACAATGGTTCTTATACAAAAGCCATTGCTGAAGGAACAGGACTTCATCCTTCAATGTTAATCTGTAACTTTATGTGAACTATGAAAAACATTATCTTTTTCTTTCTCCCCATATTGTCCCACAGTAACAGCACTGCAGAAAATATCGATTTGATGGCACCTTGTAATAAGGACTGTAATTGCATTCGTACTTACTTCAATCCAGTATGTGGTGCAAATCATGTCCAGTACTTTTCTGCTTGCTATGCAGGTTGTTCTAATGCATCAATAACAGATGGCATTCTGGTATGTTTTCTAATTTTAAGATAGTTTACCAGTAGTTCTGATTAGCTATTTTAACAAAGTTAAATTGTGTCATGATTATGCAAATGATCCATTGAAAAATGACAAGAGTGCTGAAATAATTATAGGAACTTTGATTTCTACTCTTGAGCAATGTTAGCTCGACATGATGCCTTTGGTGTCTGGACAAGGAGAGTTAGCATGCTTTCTGCTTTTGTGCAGTAGTTCACTTCTTATTTTCAGCCCTCACCACTGGCTACCAGCAATATGTAAAAGAGAGTACAACATTGGATGCTCCCTGACAACATGGAAAATTGCCCAAGAATGTCTTTTACGCAAAAGCAGGACAGATCCAGTCGTGCCAGTTACTACCACATTAGTCTTCACTTAAACATCAGCAAAGTGATGGATATTCTCATTGACAGTGCTACCAAGCAGCACTTGCACAGCAATACCTACTTACCAGTGCTCAACATGCCTTCAGCTCCTGGCTTCATTAAGCTTTATTCTAAACATAGGCAAAAAAGAGCTGAACAAAAGACATGAAATGAAAGTGGTTGACATCAAGGCAGAATTAGACTCAGTCAGGCCAGAAGCCTCTGGCAAAATTGAAGTCAATAAGAATCACCAGGAACATTATTTAATGATTGGAGTCATATCTAGCATTAAGGAAGATGGTTTTGCTTATTGGTGTCAATCCTCTCAGCTCCGGACATTGGTGCAGAAGTTCCTCGGGGCAGTGTCCCACCATCATCAGTTGCTTCATCAATGACCTTCCCAGAGGTTGCAGGGCTCTGAGATGCAGAGAGATCAATGTATTCTGGTACGTGAGTTGCTGAAGGTTATGTAGGTTAGGCAAGTAATTAGGGAAGCTAACGTTGTCATGTATCATAATAGGAACTGTGTACAAAAATAGGGAGTTTATGCTTCAGTTATTTCATGCACTGGTGAGACCACATCTGGAACACTGTGCGCCATACCTGTTATCTTATTTGACAAAGGATATCAATATGTAGGAATTAGTTCAGAGAAGTACCACAGTAGCACCTGGAATGAGTGGTTTGTCTTGTGAGGAAAGATTGGACAAGCTCAGTTTTTATCTGCTGGAATCATGGAATCATACAGTACAGAACAGGCCCTTTGACCCACTGAATCTGCACTAACAACAAACCTATTCTGAATTTACAGTACTTTGCAGCACTTGGCCTATAGCCTTGAATGTTATGATATATAGTGCTCAAGCAAATACTTTTTTAAGTGTTGCGATGTTTCTCACCTCAGTTCTCCTCCCAGGCAGTGCATTCTAGATTCCCACCACCCTCTGGGTAAAAATGTTTTCCTCAAATCCCCTCTGCACCTCTTGTTGTTCATCTTAAAATTACGTCTCCTTGTTAGTTGAAGGTCAACAAGGAGAGCAGTTACTTTCTTGCCACCCTGCCCTGCATAATCATACACACCTCAATTGGGTCCACACTCGGCTTGCTGGGCCTACTCTAAAGAAAACAACCTGAGTTTTTCCAGCCTCTCTTCTTATCTAAATGGCTGCATCTCAGACAATATCCTAGTAAATACCCTCTGCACTCACTCCAGTGCAATTACATCCTTCTTACAATGCAGTGACCAGAACTGTATACAGTGCTCCACCTGTGGTTTCACCAAAGTCCTGCACAGCTCCAACATAGCCTCCTTGCTTTTATAATCTATGAGATTAGAAGAATAAAATGGAACTTGATTGAAGCAGATAAGATCCTGGGGTCTAATGACAGGGTCAGTGTGGAGAGGATGTTTTCTTTTGTGGTACAATCTAGAACCAGGTGTCACTATTTAAAAATCAAAGATGACCCATTTAAAACAGATGAGGTGATTTTTTTTCCTCTCAGAGTGCCATGAGTCTTTGTTCCTTAAAAGATGTTTGCAGCAGAGTCCTTGAATATTTTTAAGGCAGAGGTGAATAAATCCTTGTTTAGCAAGGAAGGAAAGGTTATCTGTGGTATTTGGGAACGCAGTTTTGACTTTGCAATCATTTCACTCAGCTGAGTGTTTGAGTTGCCTCATGTATGTTCCCCTCATTATGATATCAGACGTGGACATTTGCTGATGGTTGTATAGAATGCAGTCCCATCGACAACTCAAATAAAAGTAAACTACTGTAAATGTTGGCAATCTGAAATAAAAAGAGTAAATGCTGGAAAGAAAACTTGCTGGTCTGGCAGCATCTGTGGAGAGAGAAACAAAGTTAGCATTCGAATCAAATATGACTATTTTCAGAATTGAAAGGGGTAGGAAAATGGGTTTTTTTTGGTGTTGACAGAGAAGCAGGAGGATCAAGTGGAGCAGGTGGTGAGAATGCCCACAGTAAAGGCAGTGCTATGGTAGTACAGTAAAGATGGAGATCTAGAAAAGATACAAATGATAGGTGTGAAAAGGAGAAAATGACATTCAAAGGCATTGCCATCGTTGAATCACTTAATGTCAACTTCCTGGAGGTTATCTGTAAAATGTTATGAAAATATGAAAACTGTGGCTGCAAGAGTAGGTCAGATACTGGGAATTCTGTGGCGAGTATCTTATCTATGACCTATACCACCTAGAGCTGCAGCAATACTACTACTTGCAAGTTTCTAGCAAGCCCCAGACTGTTCTAACTTGAAACGATATCATCCTTCTTTCATAGTTGTTAGACCAAAAACCAGTAACACCCTGTCTAACAGTTCTGTGATGTACCCTACACTAGATAGGCAGCAACACCTCAAGAATGTGGCTTTCTGCCACTATTTCAAGACCGATCAATGATGGACAACAAACAAATGCTGTCTTTTCCAGCACCACCTTTCCAGCGTGCCCTTTAAAGAACAAAAAATAAGTAATTACAACAAATACATTACTGTGGTTTTGTCCTTAAATACATCATATCTTGTGGTGCTAAGCTGTACAGACCAGGTTATGTGTTTACTCCCTTGGGGTGAGTTGGTATTTATCTCGTGAGGAATTAGATGATCTTTTCTGGGACAGCTAGAACAACCTCCAGACTCTAAAAATGCATCATTGAACTTGGGAGAGAAAAATCAGCCAAACATCCCATTGATAATTGTTATCCGTGAACTCCTCTGAAAATGAAAGGGATTGATTGGACTCAAAATGTTGGGCTGAATCTTACTTTATTTGGCTAAATCCGAGCCGTGTTGAGTCTTTTGTAGAGTTTTTCACTGTCAATTTTCTTGCCCTATCTTACCAAACACACCTCATAAATTACCTACAGCACCTGACCACATCTAATTACTGTTGCATCCTACCAAATACTATTCCCACAACAGCTCAGTAGATATCTGCTTAAACACTAGCATTGTTGTGCGCAATCTTTAAAAGCCCGTTGTGCTGCCAGCTAAACTCTAAGTCGAGATCTGCCCTGCATAGTTCCTAACATGTACACCAGACATAATAGATGGGGAAAATTTTTGCCTCACTTTGTGGCAGGGTCCTGGAGCACCTACTGGATGGCGGTGCTGATGTGGGACGTCCTCCTCTCACAGAAGCAGCAGTGGAGGCCACAACACCATACCATGCCAGTCTGATCTGAGGATGCCCCCTGATTAAAGCAGTCTCAGCCATCAGGAAGAATGGCTTGCAATGTAGGAAGAAGGCCTATGTCCTTCTCCAGTCTTCCAGGGTAATCTTTTCTCTGCTACCTCAAACTCACTCTATCCCTGTTGCAGTAATCACCTCCCACCAAGGCTCATGCTCCAGCACTCTCATTATTGCCTGCAACATTTTCTCCATGTGCTCTCACCAACCCAACCCCTGCCATCACGATTGCTGCATGCTCTCTGTACTGCCTACTCACTTGCTTGGGAGACCTCTCCACCTATACCAACAATACTAGCTGTGCCACTGATATTCTTCTCCCATAATAGCAGCCTGTTTTTCATTCCAGGAGGAGAACAACGTACAATTGGGCAGTGTGATGTGCTGCCCATCATTCATGTCCTCATTTCTTATGAGGAGAGAATCTTAATTATGACTTCCCCACTCAAGGCCCAGACTGGTATCTGAATGCTGCCCTTGACTCACAGTGGCAGGATCCCCTGAGCAAAGGCTGTGTCCCTTGACTTGATTGAGATCTGCTGATAACTATGACAAACTTCCTGGCTTTGTGTCTAACCAGCTCTGCAAGATGGTGGCAATGAAATTGATATGTCTGGGTGAGGAAGCAAAGTGCAAAATGGCTAAGCAAGGCAATGCAAAGCAGGATGCTGAAAGAATCCAGTTATGTTCAGAGTGAGCACCATAAGAGAAAGCAAAGGAGACACAGCCTGGACCAGCCCATGAGCTGGGTGCATGTCCCTGAGCACACAGCATGACAATGACAGTTGCCAGTACAGCACTGAGCTGCAGATGCACCTGTAAGTGGATTGGAGATATACCATTAGGGCTGTTGGAGGCTGGCACATCTCGAATACCAATGTCTGTGTATGTAGGCATGTGTGTCTGTGCCCATGGAGTGTGCCCTGAGACGTTGGTGCCCAGTTTCCAACATGAAGGTCATTAAGAGAAAATGGTGAGCTAAATCCATCTGTATTTACTCTGGTTTCCTTTCCGTCTTTTCCTGACATTGACCACGTTTGGTGAGTTTGGTAAGATGGGAGGCTAATAATTTATAATGGCAAATTGTGTCATTACTAATGAGTTTAATAAGCAACAATCCTTGTCAATTGGCAAGCAAGAATATTGCACACCATTTGTGAAAGCATAAAAGATGAAGCAGATGATCTCAAGATGAACCTCATTGAACTTGTCACCCAGTTCTGCCACACCTCCCACCATGTCGCTCAGATCCCACAGGATTCCATGCATGACTTCTGTTTTTCTCTCCACAGATGCTATCAGACCTGCTGAGTTTCTTCAGAAATTTCTTTTATTTCAGATCTCTAGCATCACAGTACTTCGCTTTTATCCCAGTAACATCTTGATATATAAATATATCTGTATGACATGATACTGGAAGATGGGAATCAGGTAGTCATGCTGTTCCTATTACAGTAATTCTTTCCCAAATATCAACTTTATCTTCCAATTGTAGCTGTCAAGAAAGAGGAAGCGTGGTGTGGTTTGATATTCTTTCACTGCTGTAGTTTAAAATTCACAGTAATGACACTATTATCACACATAGTGATAGGAGACAGATGGGATGAGTATATGATGTGGGATGGGATGGAGCGCAGACATCTGACATTGGAAAATTACAAATAAATGAGGATGAAGTAATGAAAATTACCATTCAGATTAAATGATGAGGGTACTACTCAAATTGTTAAACTTGTTTTTCTCTCTCAAACAAGAACAAAGAAAAAGAACAAAGAAAATTACAGCACAGGAACAGGCCTTCGGCCCTCCAAGCCTGTGCCAATCCAGATCCTCTATCTAAACCTGTAGCCTATTTTCCAAGGATTTGTACTCCTCTGCTCCCTGCCCATTCATATATCTGTCTAGATACATCTTAAATGACGCTATCGTGCCCGCCTCTACCACCTCCGCTGGCAATGCGTTCCAGGCACCCACCACCCTCTGCGTAAAGAACTTTCCACACATATCTCCCTTAAACTTTTCCCCTCTAAACCTTGAAATCGTGACCCTGAGTAATTGAGTCCCCCAATCTGGGAAAAAGCTTCTTGCTATCCACCCTGTCTATACCTCTCATGATTTTGTAGACCTCAATCAGGTCTCCCCTCAACCTCCGTCTTTCTAATGTAAATAATCCTAATCTACTCAACCTCTCTTCATAGCTAGCGCCCTCCATATCAGGCAACATCCTGGTGAACCTCTTCTGCACCCTCTCCAAAGCATCCACATCCTTTTGGTAATGTGGTGACCAGAACTGTACGCAGTATTCCAAATGTGGTCGAACCAAAGTCCTGTACA